TGTTGTCTGTTTGTCCAGTGCTGACGGTAAAGCCACCATCAGTACCACCGTGCCTGACACTATCACTTCCTGGATCGCCAGCGCCTTTGCTGTCAACTCCGCTTCCACAGGACTTGGTGTAGCCCCGTCTACGACAAAGGTGCAATGATGTGTTGTATTTATCCTTCCCTCAAAACAAGTACTACTTAAATGAAAATAGTAAGGCAAAAAAGTTCAAAGGGTTCAAAGGGGTAAAAGCATTCTCAAAGAAACCATTCATCATTAACATTGAACAATTAAAATCAACAACATCGCAAAATAGAAATAGATACGTGAAAAGCATGCTCCTATTTCCGCCTTTTGCGGAAACACCCGACAGTTCATGAGCAGAAGCGGGTATCACGTGGCATGGGCGTCATATGTGCCTAATGGCGATGGCTTCCTCTTTGATTTTACTTGACGGTGACCGTGGATTCTGAAGCAGTAAAATGTGTTCCTGATATCATTCTTGACATGGATGTTAGACCGTATCAATACGAGCCGAATTAACCTCTTGCAAAGGAAACTCCCCAGTGAAAATGTAGAAGAAGAATTAGCTTGAAATGGGGCACGACTGTATGTCAGAAATAGTAAAATGTGATACTGTTCCAACCAGCATACCAACCCCATTATACATGACCAGGGCCTTGGGATTGTTTTTAAAATATATGATTGCAGTTCTGGTCCAGGATTCAACCCTTACACACACCCCACATCCATCACACACACACACACACACCACCCTCTCCCCACCCCCAATTGTCACAGATATTGAAAAAATAATTATGCTTCAGACGGAGGAAAATAGAAATTGCTCTGCTACAAAAAAATACACACTGTTGCAAGATATCATTTCGTTGAAGAGAAATTAGGATCCTAGTTCAGCATATATTTCTGTAATTTTCAATCTTTCAGGTGGGTGTCATGTTGATTATATGTTAAATGAGTGAGTGTGTGGAGTTACAACTTATAGTCACATCGGCAATATTTTAGCCATATCGTGACTAAATCAGAGTGCTATAGTTTTATAATAACTAACAGTGAATTATAAACATTTGTCAGTGAAAGACAACAAAACAACTAGATTAACACAGATATTAATTTAAAACTATTAATTTAATCTAATATATAGTAATTATACACAACGATGAAGATATAAAACCAGGCTATAGATCGCCAACAACTGAAGGCAGATCACCACATTAGGGACCCTAGAGGGACTAATAGTACATTTGCTTCTTGCATGGACCCTAGCTGGATTTTACACTCATCCTTTTAGCTGTTTATAGTCAAATCTAGCTATACATAAAAGCACATATATTCTTTCGACTAAAAAGGTGGTAAGAATTAATTTACCTTTGAATGTTTTGGGACTTTGCTTTGAGAATGCAGCCACGAAATCTTTCGTACTGTCTCAAAAGTGCCACATTGTCCATATACAGAGCAACGTAACGCACAATGCGTGTACTTTCTTCAGCTGCGTGTCTTCAGTCCCTTCTTCGTGGAGCTTTGTCCATGCCTACCTCGGTGTTACGTGGAGAACAGGTCGTCATTCAAGCCAGTATCTTCAACTACCTGCCCAGTGATGTTGATGTGGAGCGTCATGTTTTAAATCAGTCACTTGAAAACGTTATTAAATAAGAACGACATGTGACCAAATCATTCATTCCTGAGCATACCTGCCTTATGTTATCGATTGGGGCTAGCCATTTACATTACCGATCCAGTCATGATATTGGTGCAACTATTTCCACCTGCCTCATCTTCAGAGCATACCTGCCTTATGTTATCGATTGGGGCTAGCCTTACATTACCGATCCAGTCATGGATATTGGTGCAACCATTTCCACTGCCTCATCTTCATCATGGCATCTGAATCATGACAGTTTATTGTTCTCATTGTCCACAGCAGGGCGCAGCTCAGAAGAACACTTTCCAGAATGCATAAAATATGATATCTTCTATCCTGGTCATCCTGGTTCTGAAAACGTTTGACCAAAATAGTTCGGTAGAGAGCGAATATCTCAATTTTGTCTTCATTTTCACACAAATATTTCGCGTCTGGGGAACTACGGATTAATTGCTACTCATTGTACAGTTACACAAGGTGTAAATTAGTTCACTTTGCACAGATAATGTGTAAACCCTCGAAGCTCGTACGTTCCATAAAAGGTACTTGGAAAACATCAGTAACAGTTAATATCATGTGTATGTTCAATAGGTTTTTGTGTCGTTGCCTACGTCCTCGGACTACGTCAACGTGGTGGTTGACAGATCTGGTAAAACTACCAAGGAATCAAAGGACCAGACACAGAATGTCACAGTAAGTGTTGTGATAAATTCACTTTCACTCTTTAGCAAATGGAACCATTCAAGGTGTTCGAGTAATGAACAGGCCTTTTTTAAGAGGCGCATCAGTCAGTGTTGCAAGCACAGCTCACCGGACTAATTCGGACCCAACCCCTTCATCTCAATAATAAAATGTTCTACTTCAACATAATATCAGTTCTGAAGCCGGAAATAAGAAAGTCTGGATTAGATGTGTTTTACATGATAATATATGCACAGTACATTCTTTACAATACTAAGAGATGATCCTTGTGAGACACAATTATTATCACAGTGTTAAATGCATATGTCTGCACACATTCCCACAATATATCATTCTGTGCTGAAGGTCAAATCCAACGAGCCCCAGACTGTGTACTTCCCTATCATTCCATCATCTCTGGGAGCTATCGACATCGAGGTGTCAGCACGGACAACTCTAGCCGCTGATGCTGTCAGGAGACAGCTCAATGTCAAGGTAATGACTTGTTTGACTAACGACATAAACCCTGTAGGGCCCATTTCCTTTGACAAAGAAAATCAATAAGCCTCATTGTTAGCTATTATTATGACAAAGATGGGGTACTGGTGATCTTTTCATTACTCAGATCTGAGGTTACATGAGGAGAAATTGGCTTTAACATGTAGTCTTGAAAATATTGCACTCTAAGCTGATCAGCCTTTGTTTTATCCGACTTGAGTAATAACAAGCAACAAGTTATAACGTGGTCAGAAAATCGAACCAAAAAGGTTCCCCATTCTAACAAGATGGTCTGTCCACCACGCCACAGAAATGGTTTCCTGGATGGATGGATGAAAGTTGTTACATTACACATTACCCTATAGATATGAACATTATGCTATGTGTAAAGTGTATAGTCTATATCTTCTTCTTAACCCAGGCAGAAGGGATCCCCAAAGAATACCAACAACCTGTCTTCATTTAGACTGACACCAGGAGGCCCACGACTTCAACCAACATGTGGCGCTGTCACTTCCATCAGAGGCAATAACCAGATCAGAGAAAGTCAGAGTCAAAGTGACAGGTATTCTGCAACAGTGAAATTTGGTTGTAAAGAATGCAAACTGTTATACTTTGGATGGCCGTGGGTATGTTGCAATTTTGTTTGAAGGTTTATTGGTGTGACTGGGTGACTTTAAGGACCCATA